CGCTAGATTGACTCATTAATTTTTCTAGTATGCGTTTTCTTCCGCATTCATTAGAGGTAATGTATAAGTACTCTACTCCATTCTCACAATGAGTTTCCACATGAAAACCATTATCACGAATATTTTTGAAACTTAACAAGGTTCGTGTTTCTCTAGGTGCATATAGAGCTTCTGTGATATAAAAGTTTGTACCATTTGGTAACATAAAACGGGCCGTACCTCTGCCTTGTATTACATGTGATGAACCAATCATCGTTGTTACAGATGAATTATAGGCTAGGAGTTCAGTAAAGAGTTATCTATTTCTTAAGATAGTGTGAGTTGTCCCACTATCTACTAAACACTCAAGTTCTCCTCGAGTCATCCCTGTATAATGAAGAAGTATAATATAAATTTGAACAGAAAATGTTATTTTTAAATATCATTTGGATTTCAGAACCAATCCAATTATTTAAATAAAACGGCAAGCATTCAATGTCCAACAGAAACGAAATGTGAAAACATGAATTCAGAAGTGCTTAAATGTCCATAAAAAAACAATGAAATTAAAGTGACTTAGTCAAAGTCTGGTGCATCAATTGACTGACTGGTGTTTTTCTTGAGGTTAACATCAACCGCATTTTCTTCTTCAATGACACATTGAGATTCCTGTTCCTTAGACTCTCTGTACTTCTTGTACGCGGCTGCGACTTTATTGCTAGCTTGGCAGTTTTTGTACCAATGTCCAGAAATTCCGCATCTGTAACAGGGTTCTTCACCAACTCTTTCTCGTTTGACCGGAGGTTTTGTGGGTGCATTATTTACTTTACTTCCTTGACCACTAGAGCCAGCACCCACATCTCTTCTCCATACTTTGGAAGATCCTCCTCGGCCCATTCCACGGCAACCACGACCACCACAACCACCACGATTAACATGATTGCCATGACCTCTCCCACGTTGGGAATTTTGTCCATGAGAGTAAGGATTAGCACGTCCTTCCCCCTTTCATTGGGGTTCTTTCCACTGTTAATTTTGCTATAGTGGGATTCGGGAATTTTCTTTGTCCCGATTGGTCTAGCATTATTGTTCAACAGAACTTCATTATGTCTTTCTGCCACTTGGAGTAGATTCCTTAATTGATTATATGTTCTTATTCTTTTATTATTATACTCCAACCTATACTGGTTCTCCAGTATAAGTGCTGAGGTAGGAAATGTGGAAAGGGTCTTTTCTATCATTTCACCTTCGGTGATTATTTTTTGACAAAAGTTGAGTCGTGCTTTGAGACGTAGCATATCCTTATTGAAATCATTGACCTTTTTGTAGTCAAGTAAGCAGATTTCATTCCACTTCACAGTGAGTTCTGGGAGCAAAGTATCATGTATGTTCCCAAAACGCCCTTCGAAGGCATCCCACAATTCTTTGGGAGATTTCAATTGGAGATACTCCCAACGTAGACTTGGATCAATGTGACGCCTAAGAAACATTAAGGCGTCAACTTTTATTTTTTCAGACGGTGCATTGTCTTTACATTTTTCGGGGTCAAGGAAGGTGGTGGAGTAGTCTTTGGCCACAAATGTGGTTTGTACATCAGAAACCCATCTATGGTACTCAAGTCCTTCTGAATCCAAAATGTCAAACTCGGGTCGAGGTTGGTCAACCATCTTAATTAAGAACAAAGGTGTCGGTTGTGTTGTTAGCACCGGGAGGATGAGCTGCCGTTGGAGGAGCCGGTGGAGAGATGTGTCTACGGCTGAGGAGATGCTGCTGATTTTGGCGAGTAGGTCGGTTACCGAATACTTTGATTTCGTCAACCGGAGCTTTGATTTCGTAAATCGGAGAAGATCAGCTACTAGGAGTCTCTCCGGCGTCGGCTTTGGATGGTAGGAAGAGAGAGCCTGAGTGTTTTTTGGATGGTGATGAGAAACAAAACAAAAAGGACACTGACTGATTGCCTGGCTTCTGTACGCAAGGCCAAGGCAGGGAGAAAAGAAACGGATCTGATCGGTGCACTAAGTGTCAGGAAAAAAATAATTTAGAGAGAAGGGATTTTGAGCGGTGCTGATAACGTGTAGAAGGAAACGGTATGTATTCATTGCATAGATGCTCCCATTAAATAGGGAAGTTAAGGTATTAGGATGTTTTTACTTGGACTGTAATTCCTCCCAGACCAGACCAGACCAGACCAGACTTGGATAGTTATAAAAATACAAAGAAACCAGACCAGACCAGACCAGCAAATTACAGTCCAAGTAAAAACATCCTTACACTACATGTGCCGCAGGGACCCGTAAATATTCTATCTATAATAATAGCACACTAGATGTAATCTCCTTTAACATCAAGCAATAAAAAAACTATACTTATACCTTTCTTTATAATCAGAAATTTCCGAGAGAGGTGAGTTTATATGCAACTTTGTTCCAAAAAATGCATTGGACAATCTTACATTTCCTGTAAAAGCAACAATTTATTTATCTAGAAAGAAACAAATTATTTAAATTTTTAAAACAATTATTTATTTATGGAAAGTATGTTAAATAAATCAGAATTCATTGAATATAGTATTATAATTACAAAAACTAAATTATTAAACAGATCATTGAACATTCTAGTCTGGAAAATATCCAAAATAACAATAATTGGCCCCTCAGTGTGCTCAACATTCAAATAGTTCCAAATTTGGTCTGCCAGATCTGCCCACAGCTGCATCCCAACCTATTACCTCTGGAACAACACATGCAACACAATCAATTTTGATAAATGAATTCATCTAATATCTGCGATGTATTTATTTATTTCATAATTTTTTATTAATTAAACGCACTCCAGATCTTCCAAAACAATGTCTATCAGCCTTTTTTGGATCATCCTTCGAAATCTCCTTCAAATTATCCTTCTCGACAATATGGCCAATAACATCTGAAATAACATAATTTATAGTGGTATGCATGTATGTGATGTTGTATACAAATTAATTTAATAAATGTTATGTCTGTATATGAAAAACATATCAAACATCATATTCTCGTGTTTTCCGCCCAAAATGTCTTTAAATCTAGCCCATTGAAAATGATGCATAGGCATTCATTGGGGCGGTACTTGTGAGTAGTGTGTCCTTTTGTCTTTGAGTCATTCATTGCAACCAAGACGTTCTCAATATAGTACGCACATCCTTCTTTGATTAGTTGTTCAAACTTTGGGATCAAAACCTTTTTTATTGGGGCATGCATTCGGATTTTCTGCACATTAACAATCAGTATATGTTAAATTTTCGAGATCAAAAGCATGATTTGAGTCTTTAACATTTGTTGACTGACTCTAAACTATTCAAGTACGAAACTAAATTATGAGCCACTTAAATTATCTTTTGATTTGGAGTCATCTTTTTTTCTTCAGAAAAATAGAAAAAAATATTTATTCATTAGGTTGATGTAAAGCTGGAATTTTTCTATTATGGAGATGCATGTACTAAATTAAATTCGAATTAATTAATTATTTAACTATTAATATATTCTGAATTAAAATTGTTGCTTTTGTTTAATTTACACAAAGTGTATAAATACACAAAATATTCAATTGCGAAGATAAATTTCGAAACACACTGAAATAATCTTCTAATTTATAGAGAAATATGAAATTATTCTATTATGGAGATGTGTTTACTAAATGAATTTTTGAAATGAACTTAAAAAATTTGTTAATTTGCACAAAGTATATACTTACACAAATTATTCAATCACGAAGCTAAATTTTAAAAATACTGAAATTATTATCTGATTTAGAGAAATCCTTTTAAAGAAATATAGAAAAATTATTTGATTATTAGGTTGAGATAAATCCGACATCATTCAATTATGGAGATGTATATAGTAAAACAAATTTGAATAAAATAATTATTAAATTACGAAAATAAATTCTAAACTAAATTTGAAAATTAGTTTAATTTACACAATATATAATCACATTAAATGAAACCGTGAAGACAAATTTTGAAATACAATTGAAATTACCTTCTGGTCTAGTAAAATCATCTCGATCATCGTCACGTTTTCCGGCTTTCCGTACTCTGTAACTTGCCACAACCGTATGACACGTACACGAACTCTCCATTCGATGCTTCGAGGTTGAATTTCATCGAGATCAACAGTTTTGAGCGGCATGGTTGAGAGAAAATGACCGCTCCCTCCAGCAATAAAATTCTTGTAGTTGTTTTTTAGAATGAGTTGAATAAACAGATGTGTGGTTATTTATAGTCCGTATATACGAACATTTGTTAAATAAATATGTAGCATATATTATTACTTCAATTAGTTGTGTATTTCTTATGGTAAGTAATTAGGGTATTTTATGTCTCAGCAATATTAGGAGCAATAATAGGGCACAAATTGTGATGCTACAGTGCTACTTGTGTAGCCATACTGATTACGAATTAGTTCAGTTTTATTTCCTTCCATCATTTGTATTCTTGACATATATGATGTAGTTGAAACGTTCTCCCAAATAATGCTAACAGTTCATACTTTAATTGCCACACGGAATTGAATTACTACAATTTATTTCTTTCCATCATTTGTAGGTTATCATATATGGTGTGCTTGGAAGTTGGAATGATCTGGGAAAGTAATGCTACATGTGCCGCCATATCTGCTGCCTTACAGAATAAATTATTCAATTTTATTTCCTTCCATTGTATTGTTTCCATATATTGTCAACTTGAAACGTCTCTCACAGTTAATGCTATGGATGAGTGAGAAGTAACTGGCGTGACAAGTTGTTTTTACCAATTTTGCCCTTTAATTTGGGACATTTTGGGTGGCAAGAACTGATTGCACTTTGTTACTTTATGGAGTATATAATAAAGATTTTTCTATTTATATACACGTGTAAGACTTGAGCGGGCTCTAATACGATAGTATTTCTTTGTGGCCCAGGTCCAATCCACATTATTATTATTCACAAGGTCCGAATAAAACCTGTTATTTGCCTTTCGTTAACAAACACGTTTGGCCCAGCTTTCAAGTGGCTACTTCTAGTCATCTACCGCAGGAGCGGCCCCTTGCATAACCCATTCCCTCTGATGTGCGGCGAAGCTCACATGCTGCGTTTCAATGGAGGTCCACGTGCTATCCCCTTTTCACCAAACAACCTCTTTTCCCAATTCGTTTTTTCGAAAAGACAGAATCTTTCCGTTCTTTAATTCAGGTTTTGATCGAAGCGCTTCTATTTTAGTTTCGAAAGAGGTACCTGGGAAGATCTGCAAAATTTCACTCCCAGCAAATAAAAGGTAATGGGTCATGAGTCCTTTTTTTCTTTTCACTAATTAATTAGTATGGACTACGAGTTTTCTTTTTAGTTTTTCTTTTCGGTGTTCTAGAAAGATGTGTTCTTTTTTCTGAATTGGGCGTGTGAACGGGTTGAAATCTTTAGTGAAGTGAATGATAGAAATTTGGAATATGGATTGCATCTAATCTTAATTATCTTATCTGTATTCAGGTTTTGGAGATTCATAATCACTTGAGATCAAAGTCCACTCCACCATCTTTAGGTTTGGCAAAAGTCCCTTTCTGCACGGAAGTTCTGCTCTCTCTTCTTTGACTCTACCAGTTTCAATTCCTTCTTGTCTTCTTCTTTGTATTTCCGCTTATGTTAGTTTTGGACACTTAAGACAATATGAAGCTTGAAATTGCTTCACCCTCTCTGCAATTTTCATTCTCTGGTATGCCTCAATCCCATGCTGTGTGGCACAGGAGAAACTTCTTCGAGTCTGTTCTTCTCAATCCTGTCAGATTAAGTAGGGTTTATAGGGGTCGCTCAATTAGGTCTTCTTATAGTGTAAAAAATCTTAGTGGAGGTTTGTGTGAAGAACCCTTTCAATCTAGGGATTGTTGCACTGTGAGTCTAAGTAGAAACCCAAACGGCAAACAAGGTTCAAACTTTCCATCAAAGTTTGATTTCTTGGATCCTGCAGTGCTTGGTATTGTACCTGAAGCCCCGAATTGGCCCGAAAGAGAAGCTGCTTCATGGGCCCCAATCGAGCAGAAAGCCAAGAATTTTGAGCTTCCAGTTTCTATGAGAATGATAAAGAAGAAACAGCAACGCGTTAGAGACTCTTGTCAAGAGTTGTCTTATTCTTCACTAAGAACGGCATTCTCTTCAATGGTGTCCATCTTTGTAGAGCTCCAAAGCCACGCTTTGAAGATCCGAGAAGTTTTATGCGATGAGGAATTGGATGTTAATCTCTCTAAGGCCCGGCGAGAGATTTGTTCATCTTTTGTTTGGATCTTTCAGCAAGTTTTTTCACGAACACCTGAGTTAATGATTCATGTTATGGTCTTATTAGCCGATTTCAGCATGAATGAGATGCTATCATCAGTTTTTATCACAAATCAAGAAGTGAGCCCCGATCAAGAATTGAGCGTAGCTGAGAAAATGATGTGGAACTCGATTGTGGATGAATCTATTCAAATGGGAGGATTAAATAAAGAAACGAAACTCAGTTTCATTTCACCATTAACGGTTAAGATTGAACCGGAGGACTTTGTAGATTATTATGGAACAGACTTTATGTATCAGATGATGTTGTCTCAGGATCCTTACAGCACGGTTCTTCTCTGCAATTATGCACAGTTCCTGCAACTCATTACACGTGATTATGATAGGTAATTCCAACTTAACTCTATTATAGAGTCTTGCATTGGAATGTATGGTTGAGCTAGTTGATGCCAATGTGTTTTGTTGATGATATGCTCATTCAAATAGTTATGCCAAAACTGATAGTATTATTTAAACTTAACTGGATATGCCAAAAACTGATAGTATCATTTAATCTTTAATAGAAAATCTTGTATTATGTATACTTGGTTTTTTCTGAAGCGGTACTTACAAATCGGTTGATCTCTAAGATAGAAAGATGAAGTTGTCATTGTTCTTGTAGAGAGGGGTATGGTTTTTTATTTATGATATGATTCTTAGATTTACATAATTGAAAAGAAAGTGAAAGCGAAACAAAATTCTCATATATAACTGCAGGATTTAACTACACTTATACAGAGATGTAATTTTATACCCTAAAACTATCAGATTCAGATAAGTTGGCGAAACAAAATTCAATCCTCCATTTCCCTTCCCTCCAAAGTCATCAACCAAACTAGCACTTAATGTCACACTCCAATGGTCTCGTGTCTGCCAAGGAACAACATAAATACTTGTATACCATGTCTCGAAGCCTAAATTAGATGAAGCCTAACCTTGAGGGCCACTGTCAGTCCCTTCCGTGGAGCCTCGGGGTATGTATTGATCCCTGAACATACTAGGGGAAGAGGAAAACAAATGCCAAGTAAAGTTTTTTCTCACTTTTGGCTTTTGTTTGAAAAATTCAATAGAAAATTGGAATGCGATTAGTTTTTAACTTTGTTTGGCATATATTTAGATATTTTAATCTTTACATTGTAGAAGTAAATTAGCAAAATGTGTATGAACATATCTCTGAAAATACTTATCTTTTATTTTTTCTATTCAAATATCCTCTATTTTCTTTCCTTAGCATTCTGTGTATTCCAACTTGTTCCATGGTGATTGATGCAAATCAGGAACTAACATGTCTGGTGTTTACTTTTTGCCACTCACCTTTTCTGCCTTGAAAGGATTTGACACGGTTGGCGGCCTGGCGCCACTGCAGGGGTAAATTTGGAAAATGCGTTACATCTTGATTTCATTAAAAACCCGCTATAAACAAAAGTGCCCTTCAAAATTTAGTGATAGTAAGCCAAAAAACAAGGTTACCAAACCGATACACATATTCCATACGCTAAATACCAAAGGGCCCTGAAAATGTGTTATTTATATTTCTTTATTTTGGAGTTTCAGGGCAGAGGAATGCTTTAAAAGGGCAGTGGAAGTGAAACCGCAGGATGCAGAGGCTCTATGTCAGTATGCTAACTTCTTATGGATGGTTAGAACGGACTTAGATGGAGCAGAAGATCTATACCAACAAGCAATTGCTGCAGACGGTGACACAGGGAATCCCTATTATGCATCTCAATATGCCAATTTCTTGTGGAAAACTGGAGGCGAGGAGACGTGCTATCCCTTGAATGTTTCATCCAACAATAACTAGAGGCGCCTTTGTTATGGATCAAACTGTAAGGATAAAGCCCCATGGAGAAGATGAAGGGGCTTCAAAGAATGACTTGTTTAATGTCAAATGTCAATGTGGATATCAATCTTTAAGATGGGGCTGAGAACCCACCAAATGAACAAAACTTTTGAGGCTGGGAACAATGTGTGCTTTGATGAAAAACTCCCCCAAAAAGCTTGTACTGAGACTTTTGGTGTATTTATTATTCAATAAAACAATTTTCCTCGTACATGTAACCTCGCTAATACTAACTTATGATCACTCTCTTCTTGATTTGTATATTGCTAATATAATAAGTTATTTATCCTTTTCGTGCTCTTCCAATGTTTGTTTAATGCATCGACCTATAAGGCTATAACCTCTTAGAGTTGCACAAAATACATATGTTTTCACCTTTTATACATTAAATCCTTGTGTTTTCTATGGGGCTAATACTAGCTCTGTTTGTAAGGAGGATCACCTAATGATGTTTCTATGGAACTATTGGACATACTTGGTAGAGTTCTTTTGCCAAACTTGAAGTGGCACGTAGCTTCGAAATAACTTGCACTAATATTGCATGAGGTTTAAAGTATTGTATGATCTCACTAAGAGTGATATAGTAAAACATTAAATGTTTTGTTATGAATTGTTAATTACACACAATGAAGTAAATATTTATGTATTGAGCTGTATAAACAGAATTTACACCAGAAAATTGTAACTTCAGCACCACTACGACTCATTTATTACGAAAAGGGGTGAAATTACATAACTAATTTGATAGGGATCTCACCTATAATATATGCATATAAAGTTTAAGGATATCAAATGTACATGTAATGTGTGGTAAAATACGTATCTAAGCTTAAAGAGATTGCAAACCACATGAATGACGTGTAAATAAGTCCAATTGTGTATTTAATACGGAGTAAGAGCTAAATAAGGATGCAATTGAAGCTAAACTATGGCATAGAAACACAAAAGGTGTCAGAGGTATGCCTGAAACTCTATCCGAGACAAAAACTCGGACAAAGAGTATTACTCCCTCCGTCCCGCTAGAAGGTTCCCGTGAACGGTTTACGATGCTTGACTGACGATAAAGCAACTTAATCCCTGTTCACACTCTGGTTATTTTTAGTAAATAAATTTAACATATTCAGAAACTACATTAAAATCGCTGCAAAGCCTGATAAAAAAATGTAAATTTGGTAAAAATTTAATTTATAAAATAAAAGATTAAAAATAATTTAAGTTGACAATAAGAATAGTGGACGGGAACCTTCTAATGGGACGGAGGGAGTAGAACTTTATTGAGCGAAAGAGATGTGCACAAAGGTTACTTTGTCACTCTCATAGTCGTAGAATTGGTTCGTTAGTAGATGGTATTTGGACAATCTCATGCTCAAAAAATGTGTACTAGCACGGAAATAGGTGATAGGGAAAGGGGCTCGCAGCTAGGGGTGGACTCGGGTCGGTTCAGTCCCGGCCACCTGGGTATGTTTGAATAAACATATATTTTCTATATGTTTATTCATAAACATATACATGGAATCGTCATCCGCTATCTCTCTACATTGGCGAAATATTTTTTATTTGGGAAAAAGAGTTATGCTACGCTACACAACATTGCCATACGAAACACTCGGTACTCATTCAAGCCAACAATGAATAAGCATTGTGTTCACTTTTAATTATTCAAAACTTATTGATCACTTTGATAATGAATAAATCTTTGTGCCTACCATTCTAGCATTGTACTAATCCAGTGTTTTGATATGTGTAGTCGTTTTAAATTTGCCGTTAGTTGTTAACTCTTACATTTTGGATTCGAATTTGAAATAATATAACTGTTGTGTGGGACTGGAACCGGGACCGACTGAGCCACCGGGACCGATTTGGAACCGGATTAATAAGGGTCGATCATGGGCCCCACAAAATTTTCCGGAAATAGACGAGTCCTAGGCCGTTAAATCTATGTTATATGATATATGAACTATGAAGTTGTAGTTTTCAATCGATTCGCACAAGGTGAAAATAAGGGTCATAGCTCAATCTATTTTTGTTTTCATATATTTAAAAAATACAGATTTTCAATTGTCATAACAACTTGTATCTAGTTCAAAGCCTCAAGGAACGCACTCCTTGTAATAAAGGGCATGCATTAGATGTGATTAGAGCCAGCGACGGAACCAGACAATAATTTAAGAGGGTGCTCTTATATTTTTTTTTAAAAAACAATTTTTTATTAGGATAAAATAAAAACGAGTGAAAAAAAAATTATTAATACATATAGAGTGAGGTTTTAATAAAAAGAGTTATTCCCGTGAAAATTGAGAACGGGCGCATTTTTTACCCGTTTTGGTACACTCGTAGATATATATTTTACACTTTTTCACAATGAGAGAAAATTTTGATTTATTTATCAAATTGTCACCGAGTTTTTGATAAAATATAGTGCATTGTTGACTGATTTTGACTCATCGGATCTCAAGTTAAATGCACAAGATTTATTCTGGATCAATTTTCATGATAAGAACTCTTTTTATTTGATCCGAAACTTATATATATGTATATGTAGTGTGTTTCAAATAAAAATGCTATTATACTAAACAAAAGGTAAATACTTATATTAACTTAAGGTAGTTTTAGAATTATTCTTGACATTAAATGACAACGTCCGTATTTGTCATTATTAGAAGAAGAAATGATTAAAATTAATTTGAATTGAAGAAATGAGAATTTAAAATAAAAGATATAGAAATTCGAAAAGCGTGATTTAAACAACATTACATCCTAGAGTGATTTAATTGAACATAAAAAATTATCAAATGGGCTAAAGTCTAAAGAAGCAATAAGGAGAAAGCAAAAAAACAATTGTTGCTCTTGAGAATTGAACCCGAGCAATTTAGGTAGATAGATCTCTCCCAACTTGCATCCTATCATTTGAACTATCACAACTCATACGTTTAAATAGCGACTCCACTTTAATATATGAATACTTTCTGAACCGGGACTGAGATATATACATATATATATACAGAACCACCGCCGGAGAAGGGGAGCGCCGGCACCGGCTCGCCCCCTAGTTCCGCCACCGATTAGAGCAGTGGTTCCACATGAATTATTCTAAGAGCATGAATGCATTGGATGGATTTGGAGCTGCTTTTTACTAAAGTTGCTTGGATATTATCAGTCTGAGAGGCAAGATCTCAAATATGCTATTGAGATTTTTTAAAATTGTGTAGTAAAATGCATTATTCCAAATTATATTTTATTTTAGTAATAAATTTAAGGTTCGGTCAAATGGGGGGAGATTTTTGGCAGTTTGATCAAATTAAGGGTTTGGCCGAATTTAGATTTTGATGAAAAATGGTTCGTTACAAAACCAATATAGTATTGACACAAATCCTTACCTTTTAACTTTTATTCTATTTTAAAAGTCTCTAAAAGTTTCTACATGAATGTTTGACATTACGATTTTTAAGATTTTTTTTAAAAATAAAATCTTTTTTGAGATGTTAAAGTGAGTAACATCTGAGAAAAGTCCGTAACTTTTAGCATTGATTAGTCCCAACAACGCGCTTGTGTGCCAAACAGAACTAAATCAAATAGTCAGTTTCTTACCGAACATCTATCACTTTTTTCTTTTAAGATGTTTTCAGACACTAAAAGCTAATAATTACTAAAAATCTTATACAAATATCGTTTGGGCTAATTGTGCCAAACATACCTCTAGTACATAGTAGTCTAAGAGTATGTTTGACACAACAAGTTGAAAATATATTTTTATAAAGGTAGTAGGCAGTAGCTTTGATAGGCATAAAAGCTAGAAGGTAGTGAAACTTAGTGCATCTTTGGTAGACATAAGTACCTACATTTTAGCTTTTGTACTATTTAAAAACTCTCTAAAAGCCTCTAGTGGTATGTTTGATATGAAATTTTTAAGAGCTTTTCAAAAAATAAAAGATCTTTTTGAGATGCTACAACATGTAACATCAGAGAGAAAGTCTGTAACTTTTAGCATTAATTGGACACAACACCTTGTTAGACCAGACAGAACTAAGGCTCTGTTCGGCACACTATTTCAGCCCATAATCGGCTGGAATTTGCCAATATATATCAGCTAATTGTAATATCATTAAACTCGTTTGGGAGAAAGGCTGGCATTAGCTTGAGCTGAAATTAGCTGACTAAAATCAAACGTTAACATTCATAACGTTTCATTCTGCCAACGCAAAGCAGACTTTTGCAATCCAAGAATATCCCTGACCGTGATAAAAAAGAACTATTTTTTGCTTTAAGAAATTATAATCACAGTTACGAAAATATTGATGACCAATTAACCCCAATTTGTAGAGAGGATGAAGCTGGATTGGATCAACCCATATTGAGTATTTCAGTTGCGGCCAACTCATGGCATTTGTGTTGGTCTCCATCTTTCAGCATAAATGAGCACCGGAAGAAGAGCTAAGCCGGAGGAGGACAGACGCCACGACGATGCTTCATATTCCTCTGGGTCATGATTTTCTCATATTATAATATACCTATTATAATATACGGAGTAATATATTATGTTATGTTATGTTATATTATATTGTACTCAGTACTATATTATATACATATATAAATTCACAAATATTATATATACACACGCATACATAAATTAAATAGCTGAGAATATAAAAATCATTATAATAAATATTTTATTCTATTAATAAATCTTATGCCCTTTAATGTACTTTCATATTATCTCAGCACTTTTCAGCTCTTTTTGCCAAACGGTTCTACTCGATTCAGCTAACGGTTCAGATTCAGCACTTCAAAGTTCAGCCTCAGACAATAGTCTCTAATTCAGACAATAGTCCCTAATTCAGACTTTAGCCTCCAGTTCAAGCTCGGTGTGCCAAACATAGTCTAAGTCAATGTTTGACAAACATAAGTCCTTACCTTCTAACTTTGGTACCTTTTCAAAAGTCTTTAAAAGTTTGTAGTTGTTTGTTTGACATATCAAATTTTAAGAGTTTTTTTAAAAACAAAAGATGTTTTTTGAGATGCTACAATGAGTAACATCCGAGAAAAACATGTAGTTTTTAACATTAATTAGTCCCAACAGTTTGTATACCAAACGAAACTAAATCAAACAATCAACTTTTTATCAAACAACTACTACCTTTTTCTTTTAAGATATTTTCAGTACTAAAAGCTAACAATTACTAAAAACCACATAAAACTATGTTTTGAATAGTTGTGCCAAACATACCCTAACTCAAACAGTTAGTTTTTTTATCAAACGGTTATAACCTCAAAGCTCATGAAAGTATATTTTCAGCTAGTTGTGCACTTGTGCCAAACATACCCTAAGTGCATATTTGGAACTTTTGTAGTACCTCTGTCCCGCTATGATTGTCCCATTTTACCTTATCAGTTCGTCCCACTAAGATTGTCACATACCAAATTTGGTAAAGTTTGTGTGACTCTAAATCATTCTTACTTTATTCTTACTTTATCAATTCAATATCAACCACATAAACCACTTTTTATTGATTTGCGTGCCACCCCCTCTTGTCCTATTGTTAGCGGGACGGAAAAAGTACTATTTAAAAAGTCTCTAAAAGTTTCTAGTTGTATATTTAGCACGACAATTTTTAAGAACTTTTTTCAAAATAAAAGATCATTTTTTGAAAAGCTACGCTGAGTACTATCTGAGATAAGTTCGTAGCTTGTAACATTAATTAGTGACAACTTGTATACCAAACAAAACTAAATCAAATAGTCACTTTAACAAACAGTTGTCGTTTTCTTTTACGACCTTTTCGGTCAATAAAAGTTAATTGTTACTAAAAAGTTCACAAAAAAATCTTTTCTGCTAGTTGTGTCAAAACAACTATATTTGTTGCAAAAAGACTTGTGTGCCATCAAAAGATGTGATGCAAAGTTACAATATACTTCGTATACTATACTTTCTATTGTTTTTATTAATAAAATTCCTTTTATAAAAAAATGCTATGATTAGTCGTATTCTGTTGCACCAAAAATATATATCCCTCATAGAGTTGCAACCACGAAAGTATGTTGAGCTACACATTATAAACTTTTGTTGCACATTTACATCCATAGGCGATGGAGGCCGTCGCCCAAATGAGAAGCCCGAAAAGGAAAAAAACTAGTGACTATGGACAATGAAAGTTTTAGTGGCACAAGCCTATTTTACACGTAGTGTTAAAATAAGTAATGTAAAGATCTCATTTTCTTCACCAAAACCAGCTATGACGACTATCTATAGCTTTAACAGAAGTGGTTACCAATGGCATTCTTCCAAACTCAGCAACAAATCTATTCACACATTCTGCCCTTTTCTGATTGTGACTTCCTAAGCTACTAATTCCACTTGAACCAATCTCAAAAATTTTTCCTGTAATACACAAAAGGAATTCAAACCACCATATAAGACTTTGGACTTCACCTCCTACTATTGATTGATCTTTATAGTATGAAACTCCAATTAACTAATACCTTGTGCCCATATAGGAGGAGCATTGGTCTCATTGGCAACAAGGAAGGACATGGCAATATCTTCACAATTCCTGTTTGGTTGATTGAAAAAACACAGCTCAACTCCAGAGAATAAAAAATAGGTCGAACATAAGTTATGAAGCCGAAATGACGATGAAAAAGTCAACAAGAAACAAGAAATATTGACCTGTTTTTAGTCACATAGTTTCTAATTGATGCTGGCATTTGATTGGTATACAAACTAAGATACTTCTTGTGAAAAAAAGCAGATTTTGAAAGAACCATACTGTAGGTTCCCATCCACCACACTGGCCACCACCCTCCATACATGTACTTTTGTCCCTCGCCTTTCTGTGATCACAATAATGATAATAGTAGTAAGAACCTCAATACTTAACTGCTATATTGCACGGACACATGAAAATCACGAGGAAACGAGAACGTCATTCTCTAGTTGAAAAACGTTGTTTATAGAGTTTCTGAAACGGAAACGTACTCTTTCCAGAGAGTTTCTGTGCTTTATAGCTTAACCGATCAAGGCAAATTTATTACTATGTTGAATTTTAAAATACAACATACCAAGTTATCAACCAAATGGGCACGGGGTACAAATCCCACCATTGTATCAGGCGCGCTTTTCCAAACCGTGAAAGCAAACTCCACAGAAGAACAAGGAAGTATGACATCATCATCAATTGAAAATATAGCATCATTTTCAAATTCATTGAGCTCCTTGAACCTATTATTCAAAGAGTCTTCACTATTGAAGTCGAATTTGAGCTCAATTTGCTGACCATATGTCAACCGCGAATGCACAACTTCGTTGAGGAACTCTATAAGCGATGATGGAGGGTTGTTAGGATCACTCCACACAATGTGTATTGAAGAAAGACTAGGGCAAGAAGAATAGTGGGAGATAGATTGCATAAGAAGATCATTTCTCTTCCATGTGTTGATCAAAATAGTGTAGCCTTACCTGTCCAAATCATAAATTATGTTTTATTTAGTATTGATGGACATAATTAAACGATTATTGTATGTTCAACCAGAGAACCGGACCTGTCGCGAATCTTGCAACTAAATGTTGGGTGTTCGAAATAATTACTTTACAATCAAGATGCTACCTAATAGTATTACTTGATCCCAACAATTAAAGAAACATAACTTTTTCGACAACAAAAAAGTAGCAAATAGGGTTAAAAATATAACTTTTCGACAACAAAAAACTAGCAAACAAGGTAAAAAATATAAAATATTACGTAAAATGTACAATATAAATTATTACATCAATTGTATACATGTACTTTTGCACATATTTTTCAAAATTTTGGGTGTTCACATTAACACCCTTGAACAAACAAGAGCCGCCACTGAACCGGACGATCGGGGTTTGGTCAACCAATTCTGGAGATCGAGCGGAAGAGGCCGACTTGTACTATGCAACGGTCCGCATGCAACAGAAGCCACATAATCGCCACTACTTAAGAAGGTTATAGTTATTAGGTATTCTCTGTGTCTCATAAAATTCTTGCGACTTACCATTTTGGCATGTCCGAAAAACTCTTCTTTTTTTCTTTTTCGAAAGTTTTGCGTGACTAAAATTAACTTACTTCTTTCTTACTCAACCACAATTAACATTTTCACTTTATTCTCACTTTCTTAAACTGCATTGTAAAGATGCAAAAATTCTTTTACTTAATTGAAAACACTAAGGGTCTGTTTACTAACAGAGGTATTTTCAAGTTTTCTATTTCTGTTTTCCGATTTTGTGTTTTCATTTTCCAGTTTTTCTATCTCCATTTTCTGTTTTCATTTTTTAGTTTTCCATTTTCACATCTGAAAATAAGTTCATCAAATTTTTTCACCCGGTTTTGAGACCGACCAAATAACTGAAAGTACGGTCCCAGATCAGAACCGAACCTAGTGCAACCCAAGTAGGGTACCAGGTTCGGCGTATAGGAAAGCCGAGACCGAAATTGGCATGTCCCGGTCGATCTCAACGGTTAGTTTGACGAATTCTTTTCCCATTTCCTTATTGATTGACAACTCAACGGCTTCTTAAAACTCTTCACTTTAAAAAACTATTTCAAAAAACTGAGACTTAACCGTCTGGTCATTGACCGACCCGGACAGGGACCGACATGTCGTTGATGAGACTGGCACGGGACCGCTTGGTGGCCGATCAGACCGAACACATACCGTTGAGTCATTGGCTGGACAGGATGGGGCCCTCCTGGTCATTGACCGGACGGGGACCGCCGATTCATTGACCAGATCGGGACTGCACGACCGTCGACTGGACCGAACAAGTACCGCCTGGTCATGGACCGGAGCGGACAGGGACCATCGGGTCATCTCTCGGGCAGGAATGGTCCACCGGGTCGTATTCCGGGCCGACCAGGGGGCCGGGCCGTGGACTTGACCGGAAAGAAACCGTCGGGTCAATGACCAGACCGTCGGGTCAATGCCCGAACAAGATATGGACCGTCGGGTCGTTGATCAGATCGGGCTGGAATTGACACCGCAGCGGGACTGAGATCCACCACTAGGTGTAAGTATGCAAATTCATCGCACCATCCTCGTTTTCCAAATTTGGAAAACTAGTAAAAGTCATTTCTCCAATTCATTAAGGAAATCAGAGACATCTCATTTTTTTGGTTTTGGAAAACGATTTGGTAAACACATTTTTCTGTTTTTCTTTCTCTAGTTTTCAGCAATTTTTTTTGGTAAACATGTTAAGTAGTTTTCTGAAAAACATGCCCTAATTCTTTTACGCTAAATTTCTTATGCTTTTTGTTCAAGTTTTATATTCTTCATTTCATCCTTTCTAGACTCAGTTTAAAGATTTTATATTGGGGTAACACAAAGCAAAATCCAACTAGTATTCCATATAAAAATAATAATTAATAATAACCTGTGAAATGACGAATGAGGAAATGGAGAAGGTGAGTGTATATTCCATGTTGTATAGGATCCAAGAAGACAGGTAAGCGCAATTAGGGCTAGTAAGAAGCAACAGCAGAAGAAGAGTTTGATGTTAACGGCGGAGATTGTGCCCTGCCGTGTCATCCTCCGGCTGAAAACGCTCGTTTTCATCGTCGTCTTACAATCGGCCTATGTATTACCTTTCCCGGTATATATTTCTCTCTTGGATCCGATTCTGAAAGACCATTCAAACAAAGTTAATTAAAATTTACTTTGACAATTCAAAGTAAAACTTAAGTGTTTGACAATTCCCTCCGATCCCAAAACAAATTGAGTGTTTGACTTTACACAAATTAAAAATATATATTTAGCTTTACCGTAGAGATCACTGTTCTGACACTGTTTGGTACTGTTTGACACTTTTTTACACTGTTTTACACTGTTTTGATGTAGATAATTTGCTAAATAAGAAAGGAAGAAGAAATGTGGAGTTATTTTGGATCTAGCCAAAAAGGAAAGTGTGAATTTGTTTTGATATCGGAGGGAGTAATATTTAAATGGGTGCAGTAATTAAAATTAATAACATATGCACTATTTGTCTTTTCTACTTTGACTTTTTTATATACACCAAATATATTCGGGCTCCAAACGTAGAGGTGCATGCACCTATATTTTTTGATAGTGCAAAACATCCAAAAACTTTACATATAGGAATAAATTTATATAATTGAAAAAAGTAATTAGAAAACCCAATTTTTGTTCAGTGTTTCCTTTTATAGTTTTTATATCAATCTAATGTTTTTAACAAAAACAAATTAACAATTAGTTTAACAATTAAAAAAAAACAGAAAGGAAATAATTTAAGACTTTAACAATAATTATGGTTGCTGGCGCGAAGTACTAAAAACCATGTTTAACAATTACAGATTCAAAAAACCGTTTTATGTTCAATGCTTCCTTTTATGTTAATTAGTTAACAATATAATTAATATTTTGATGTACAAATACTCTGCAATAAGGAATCACTGAACACAAAATGGATTTTTAAAATTTTTCGTTCTTCATAAACTCGAAGTACGTACTCGTTCATCTATTTTGCCTTTTCAACAAGGCTAAATTTGCTCATAAATATTAGCTTTAAAGATATTTTTGCACCTGGAGCTAAACCTCAAGAGTACTTTCACTTTTTGCCGATTATAATTAATTAATTATGCACACAGTACTAAGAAATTATGTTACCCGAAACGTTTATACATTTGTTTTTATACAAAACATCGATTTTGATTTTTTTTACTACTAGACAACTAAATACAGTAATGGTCAAATTAATGCGAGAAAGTATGTTACAAATAAATAAAACATGAATAGTACAGTATATATTTAGATATTAGAGTAGACGTTCTATTGGGATTATAAATTGCAAAAATAAAATCTAAAAATAATAAAAACTTAACACGTACACAAAATTAGCTCATATTGCATATCGATCATATCGGGACCAATGGAGTCTAAGAAGAAACAATATATAACCAGTGAAATAAAAATAGATCTTAAATACATGAATTTGGATAACAGAAACCTACACTTACTTTATTGATGAGTGTAAGAATTACAATATGGTAAATGTTTAAGCTTTGAATTGAAATTATATCACTCGCTTCTTCTTATATAGTCCGGATTTGGGACCTGGACTTATGTTGCTAATGGGAAGTCTGAATTTCAAAGATTCCTTTGTAACAATTTTCAAAGATTCCTTCTTACGTTTTGTTGCTTTTTGACTCGCAATTTTCTTGGTTGGCATTGTAGATTCATTTTCTCTTACTAACAAATTGTCAATTTTGTGAATAAAAACTGTGCTTTATAAAATAAGTATTTCTTTTGTGAATGGGAAACTCTAGTCGGGAATTATATACTTTGTGTGGTCATGATTTAATTTTGGAAAATTGCCTATATCGAATGCAGATGCTACATAATACTTCCATTTTTCCCTAATAACTTTGCCAAGCTTGACCGGCACAGGAAATGATTAAGTAAACACCGTGTGATTAAGGTTTGTGCAGAGGAGAGAGAATGAGCTGAAATCACAAGTTCTTTACTTAAAACGAAAAGTGACAAAATTAGTGGGATATCCAAAAAAGGAAAGTTGACAAAATTATAAGGGACGTAGGGAGTAGAATAATAAAGATATTTTTCACATAGACTCGTTTTAATCTCTTATCAGGCTGGAATTGATCACCAAAATTAAAATGGCAAATCTGAGCTAACTAGATTGGGTCAGGCTTCATTTATATCCGTTTTTTCGCTAATTGGCAACTACTTCGTATTAAATACCTATGATGTTTTCCTTTGAAATGAAATTCGCTGGTCTGGTCTGGACTGATCTGGTAAATGTTTGGTCTCTGTGTATTTTATAAATATGGAAATCTAGTCTGATCTGATCTAGTCCGCTCTGGTCTGGTCTGGGACTGAAAATAGTCCAAAAGAAAGCATCACTAGTAGTAAATAGTTGAGGTGTGCCAAAGATCGACTTGCTTTGCCATCATATTTACTCTAGTTATTTCAAATATGTTCTATTTACTCTAAATACGCCCCTTTACACAAAACGGCTAAATACTTTTTTTAGCTTTATCTAACTTATTAGCAAACAAACATTCAAAACAACATAATAGCAAACAATTACAAAGTATTACAAATCGCTACCATTCAAGAAACCAAATAACACTATTTTGTTTCATTTATACGGCAGAAGTTATCGGTCTTTGTATAATTGTATCTTTTGGTTTAGTTAATTATACTGATTCTTGAGTGTTTTTGAATCTTCGGTCCTTGTACGGGCTCAATTGGAGTGTTCCAAAAAGGATTGTCATATTTTAACTTTTTTGGTTAAATTATGGAAAAGTTTAACTATAAGTCTATAATTTTAATTATTACGTGAGTATATTTTTATATAATATATAAAGTTTAGGCCTTTTTCATAAATAATATTAGGCATTAAATTAAATTCAAAAGACAAAAATATGACTTAATTTAAAAAATTCAAAAAAGGAAATATTCAATAACTAGTTTTAGTGACTCATCATCTATCAAGGACTTGTCACTCCAAAATAAACTATAATGATTGATAAGATGTAGTGAAATGACCCGTTTTTAAGAAAAGAAAGTGAAATCATATACTCCCTCCGTCCCGGAATTATCTTCATTCTTTCCTTTTCGGTCCGTCCCAAATTTATCTTCTTTTTCTCTTTTTTGGTAAAGAATATGTGATTCACAACCATTCTTACACATTTTTCTCTCCTCTGCATAACTCTCCACCACACAAATCTCACTATCTTAAAACCCGTGCCCGGTCAAAACCGGAGTTAAATATGGGACGGAGGGAGTAGTTAGCATTAAATTTATAAAGTAATTGAAAAAATCGAATGAACTTAAATTACATAAATACTACTCCGTATTAAAACTAATGGGTGATAGATTTATTAGAATGGGCAAGAAAAGATAAGATAAAATAGCGGGAGGAAGGTTTTGTAATATTGTTTTTGAATTTTAATTTTTTTTACTTTGGGTTTTTTGTTGGAATCGCCCACCCATGCGCGCGCCCACATCGATCCGACACAATGGTGGAGTAATAAGTCACATTATAATTTCAAACAATTTCTGAGTGAGGTTGTTCAGGGTCTGGTGCGCCACCACATTGGATGAAACTCTGACACTGTCGGTGCCGGAAATTGAACTTGAGACCTCAATCCAACAATCTCACTCAGTCACGGTTGAGCATCCATGCGGCCAGGGGCTGAGCTAGGGGGTGCCCAGGCTAGGCCCTGACCCACCCCAAATTTAAAAAATGTTACTCCCTCCGTCCCGGAATTATCTTCATTCTTTCCTTTTCGGTCAGTCCCAAATTTATCTCGTTTTTCCCTTTTTGGTAAAGAATATGTGGTTCACAACCATTCTTACACATTTCTCTCTCCTCTGCATAACTCTCCACAACACAAATCCCACTATCTTAAAACCCGTGCCCGGTCAAAACCGGAGTTAAATATGGGACGGAGGGAGTAATATTTTTAGTGTAAAAAATTCCGTGTAATTTTTTTTCCAATAATATTCTTTGTACCGGCCCAATCTGGCCCAGTGCCCTGGCTCCGCCCCTACATGCGGCCATAGCGGGTTTGGTTTTTTATTACTTTTATTTTCTTGTGACAACTTCGAGAAAAACAAATGAAAATTGTACACAAGCACACAATAATTTTTCCGTAGGACCATATGTTAGACAAAATTAAGTGAAACTAAAAATTGGGGAGTGAAAATCAAAATGATCCGGTAGTCGTAGAATCCAAAATGAAATTATTACTCCCTCTGTTCCGCTAAGATTGTTCAATTTTACATTTTCGAGAAATCTCACTAAGATTGTTCCATATCATATTTGGTAAAGTTTGTGTGGCTCTTAATCATTCTTACTTTATTCTTACTTTATTAATTTAATATGAACCACATAAATTCACATTTCTTAATAATCGTGTCATATTATTTCGTCTCAATGTTAGTGGGACGGAGGTAATACTTTTAAAAGAAATAAGTAGTAGCATACGTTTCTAGAATATAATCACATGCATGAAAGGTAAACATGTAGACTTTTGTAGACCTTTCTCTATAATTACACTTCTATTTTTACCCAAATTAAAGTAGTTTTTCAAAGTTTTGCTTTGTAAAAGAGACTGGAGAAAGAAGCGCGTGATAAAGATGAATTTCTAGTCTTGTCTCAACTTCAAATAAAAATGTTCCTTTCCGATTTCCATCATTGCTCCAACCTACTTTCACCAACAAGAGTGTGAACTGAAATCATGACGGTCTCTAAGGTCGTGTGAGTAACACAAAATTAAAAAAAAAAGATAATTTGAGTTTGCATTCCATTTTATTCTCCAAATTAAACTTTGCGATCCGTTTTTAAAAAACTTTGTATCTGCACCCCAACCTCATATAAATAGACAAAAATGTCATATTTTTAACAATTCTATTGGTCTTCAACATATTTTTAATTGAGGAGCATTTTTGTCTATTCATATGGGATTGGGGTGCAAATACAAAGTTTTTTAAAAACAAGGTGTAAAGTCTAATTTAGATAATAAATTGGGGTGCAAACTTAAATTATCCCTTAAAAAAGGTAATCCTATTAAGAGTCCAATTAGTATTCATAGTCACTTACACTACAAAAAAAGGCCTATTGTCACTATTTTGTTATGGACCTTAGTTAAAAAAAATATGTGACAAACAACTTTGTCACGGATTTTGTCACAGATTTTTTCTGTGATCGTTTGGACATGACAAAAGTTTGTTGCGGAAATTGATCTGTGACAAAGCGTTCTCACGGATTTGTCACGGCCAGTATCCGTGACAAAAGCTTTACCGGAAAATTCTCCCCGTTCAATTTTGTCACGGATTTCGTGAGTGACAACATTTGTCACGGATTCAACAAAAATTAAAAAAATTGTCCGGATTTATTCCGTCACAAACATTTTTTGATTAAAATAAATAAATTGAAATAATACGGGGGAATTACAAAAATTCAAATTTGTCACGGCCTCCATCCGTGACAAAATAAATATTAAAAGTAAAATTTTACAATCACAATAATTAATAAAAATTCAAATTTAAAATACTATCTATTACATATTCGGGGGGTATTCATCGTTGAAATAGTCGTTGATATCAACATTAGTGCTAGGGGTTGACCCGGGTTGACCTTCGCCATGTCGCCTGCCACTATGATTGCATCTACCTCCTCGACTGCTACCCCGGTTGTAATGAATTTCGGGTGTCTGAAACGGTTGGTCTTGATATCCATACGGAAAAGACGAATGCATTCCGGACATGTTTGGCGGTATTTGAAACCCAGGGCTAGAGTTGAAACTCATACTGCCCATGAGCACTTGAGGTGGCATCTGAGCCTGCATTTGATGCATGGGAGGCCGCCATGTGGCAAAGAATTCATCCATTTGGGCCCGCATCTCCGCCACCTTTTCTCTTTCTCTCCGGTCCTCTTCACGTTGTTCTTGGAGTTCTTGCAATTGTCTCTCAAGGCGGGTAATCCGTTGTTCATTGGTGACATGTGAGATAAATCCGTGACAAACTTGTCACGGACAAGATCCGTTACAAAAATCCGTGACAAAATCGTTGTTTTTTTTGTAGGGTTGATTAAATAAAAATATAAAAAGATAATTAAAATATCTACATTACCTTTATTAAACAAAGAAAGACAATTTAAGCTAAGCATTACAGACCTTAAAAAGACAGAAGAAGAAGAGTTGTGTCATGTCGGTATGCGTTCACCATTTTGCAGGAAGGCTCGAAAGCAGCTTAAGCGAGCGCTCCTACACCACTTTTACGGTCTATTTCGTAATGTGGCCGCTCCGACAAGGTTGTGACCAGTGTCACTGTCGGTTACTCTCTCATGATTGCTCTGGTCTACGGCAACGAGATGACCCGAGGATTTCTCTCCTCTCAACCAGGAGTGTTTATCATCGTTGATGATTAAATTTCTAATGTATTACTCCCTCCGTCCCTGAAAATACTTCTAGCTTTCCCTTTTCGTCCGTCCCAAAAAGAACTTCCCTTTCCTTTTTTGGCAAAGAATTTGTGGTT